GATTCTATGATTCTATGGAACTGAGGGTGGTTCGCCTGCACAGCGCTAGTTAGCGTCAAGGAAGGGAGAGTGCATGTTCAGGCTGAACGGACACAGCTACCTAAAATCTCTGATTAGAGGCTCTGGGGTGCAGATAACACCTACAGTGGAGCTTCCATAGGGTGACACATCTCAAAGAGCCATCGTTCTTGCACAAGGTGAGTAACTTCCTCGCCTCTGAAGTGACTGTCTTCCTCACATCTGTTTTGTGCTTTATTTTGCAGCTCTCTTCTGCCCTTTTCTTCCAGTAGTGATGAAGAATTTGAAATATGTAAGTAAAGAGTGGTTAGAATCAGGGGGTAGCCGTGTTAGTCTGTATCTACAAAAACAACAAGGAGTCTGGTGGCACCTTAAAGACTAACAGATTTATTTGGGCATAAGCTTTTGTGGGTAAAAACCTCATGCATCCGAAGAAGTGAGGTTTTTACCCACGAGTGGTTAGAATGTTAATCTTGCTTTCTCAATGAGTGTAGAGAGGATGTATTCCTCATAGCTGCAAGAATATGAATTCCTTCTGGAATACCTTTTTACAGTGAATCTTTGTTGCAAAGCTTATTCTTTCTCCCAAGTCTTAAGGCATGGCAAGAGTTGAATGATGAGGGAGAGGGTAGCCAAAGAGCTGCTTCTGCTCTGAAGAGCTGAGAATTTTAATTGTGAGATTAAGTAGGGTCCTTGCTCTAGAGACATTTGGATACTATTGGTAATATAACAGTTGTAACGATTTTTTTCCATATATGCCCTTAAGGCATGGAATGGGATCACTTTTAGAAAGCTAAAATACATTTCCTGTAATGTAATTCTCTCACATTCTGATTTAGTTTTATCTAGAATGAAGACTCCAAAATTCCTAGCACATCAAGTCTCTAAGAAACAAAATAGCAGGTGGGTCCTGGAATTATTGAATTGTCTATAGTTAGTCAGAGAGAGACTTTTTTGTCTAATCCATGGCAGCCAAAATGTCCCATTAATGAGTTATTTTGAATATGGAAAAATGAATTAGATCCTCTCTTATTTGCATGGGGTATCGTCATTGTCTGGAGGATTGGGCACAGGTTTAGAAGTCAACATTCTGAGTTCTAATCCTGGCTCTGCTGCTCATTCCATGTGTGGCCTTGGTCACATTGCTTCTCTTCCCTGTTCCTTAGTTTTCCCACTGTAAAATGAAGATTAATAACTCATAAGGCTGTTTTTAAAACTAAAGATTTTACAGCACTTTTAAAATGTAAAACATTACATGGATGTGAAGTATTGTTATTTGGAGGCACATATCTCACTATTTTGTTGTTGTTTTGGAGCACTATATAGCTTGTAGTGGGATATAATAGAATCATAGAAGATTAGGGTTGGAAGAGACCTCAGGAGGTCATCTAGTCCAACCCCCTGCTCAAATGGAACCTTTCACCTTTCACCAGGTTTCACTGCTAAGTAGGTTTGGATTTACAGTTTTTGTCTGACAGTCATTAGACCACTATGTGAAATGACTTGGTCTTGGTGAGTTTTGGAGAGGAGATGTCCATAACACGCAATCTTTGTTGTCTCTGGTACTAATTATTCCCATAGGTGGCAATTTTGGCGGAGGAACCAAGTGTTGAATGATTCATGGAAACAGAACTCCCTTTTTACCAGTTGAAGTGATTCCTGCAGATTAGGAATGAGGCAGATTAGTGGGAGTGGAGTGTGGAGGTTTGCAATGTAGCAGCCTGTACTCTGTGGATTTTTATGGATCAAGGATTTAACAGTACTGACAGCTTTGCATCTTTCACATTAAAGGCAACTTTTTTGGTCAACAGTGTGATTTCTAAGCAGAATTTTATAAATTCTATCTTTAAGGTTCCCTATCTGTATCATTTTATCCAGTAACAAGAATGAGGGATAATGGTCTATTTCAATATCTGAACTTAGTTTGCAAGCATGTTCTCATCCTACTGTAGCACTGAACTTACAAAATAGCCTATGATTCTTGAAATGGAGTTCTGTCTTTTGCTTAGACGTTTAATGATAAAATACTGACAAAATGTAACTGACAATGAAAAGTTACATTGAGAAAGTTCTTTGGTAGTAATGGATGTTTCCAGTGAATAAATTAGAACACTGTACCAGGCTGCTTTATTGTCAGCTTTACCTATATCAAGACAAAAATCATTCCTGGCTTCCTTTGCCTCATTTTATTGTTTCTCTACGGTTTGAATGAAATCATCGTTGTCTCCAGGGAAGACTTCTCCGATTTTACAAGAAAGAATGAGACAAGCAAGAAGGGTAAGTAGCCATCCAGCAACAAAGAGGGGACAAGAGTTTTAGCTGGGTGAAGAAAGAATGCTTATTGTTCAGAGCTCACCATTATTCTTTAGGAAGAGCACAGACATAGCTTTGGAAAAGTTTGGTCCCTTGTAGGGTAAGATAACAGGACAGGTTCAATTCTGTTTGCTTTTTGCTGGATTAATTCTCTCCTTCCTCATTCTCAATTTCCCATTCCTCCATATGATCCTTCCCTTTTTCCTCTTCCTTCCTGTTATGCTTGTTTTAACACTGGGATATCAATATCTTCACTTGTGGTATTCTTTAAAATCCTTTCCATTTGAATCTTTTACTTATAAGAGAATCCAGCTGCCAAAGGCAAGTCTTCTCTCATTTCCCTTCAGTGCCCTTTCACATGCTGCATTTTTAAGGCCTAAAATTGACCATATAATCAGCTAAATACAAACTCTTATGTGTGCATAACTGCAGAAGCTTTCTTTTACCAGAAAGAGTGGCTGTAATAAAGTGTTCTCTAGCTATTCTTATCTTGTATCAGACTGACTTAAACCCCTTTTGCTGGCACAATGTAGACCCCACATACATACCTTTTTTATTGTTTATTGTCTGCAGTGCAATTGGAAGTAGTGTGATCCTAGGTGTGAATGAGCATGGGTTGGAGGAAGTTGCTAAGATTCCTTTCTCTGCCTGGTGTTTTCATGTTTTCCAAAGGATCTAATTAACTTGCATTAAAACATAAATGCTGAAGTCTTTGAATTTTTCTTTTTGAATTGTAGCAGTGAAGAATGTTCAGACCCAGAAGAAGCCAGTGACTTCTAGAAAGGAAAACACTTACTCTCAGGAATGGCTGTATCCAGAGATTTTAAGTGACAGTAAACATGATGATTCTGTTTTCATAAAAAGTACATGGTCTGACCACTGCCAAGAAATTGAAGCGAGGGGCTTGAAGGACAACCTGCAACACATAGAGCAAACTCCTTCACAAAAACAGAAAGAGTTTGATATTTCCAAATATAGTCCAAATTCATCTTTTGATGGGAAAGAGAGAGATTGGGAGGAGCGTGCACGGAACAACCCGCAGACCATGGCACTACGACATAGTGCAGCATTAGGGCAAGACAGCTCAGAGGATGAATTTGAATCTTTAATAGAGCGGATAAAGAAGCGAAGCATACCACTGACTCCAAGTTTAACTTCAAACAAAACCACTCTATCCCAATCAGCCACCACAGGTAGGAGAAGTTGTTCTTTATTTCTGTATTCTTAATCATATTTATTCATGAAGTATCTTGTGCAAATGGCTGGCAGTATTAACTGCATAGTTTTAAAAATGTGTTGTGCTTCTGACATAAACAGGACTTATGACTCATTTTTGCAGAATGTTCAGACATATCAATGAAATGAGCATGCAGAGAATTGTAGTTCCCCTAAATTTAAATTATCAAGGAACTAAAATTCTTTATTTTTGTCCATTATTTTCATAGTTATAATAAATTTTAAGCTTCAGTAATAGATTTTTAGTTTGGAATTTCATTTTAAACTTTCAACAAAATCAAAGCTAACTAAAAAATGAAAATCAGTTTCCTACAAGTATGACAGGAATTGACATTCAAAATTCATTTAAATGATAATTAAACTCCTTTACATTAGAACAGGAGTACTTGAGGCTCCTGTTCTTTTTGCAGATACAGACTAACACGGCTGCTACTCTGAAACCTGTCATTATTTAAATTAGAGCAGTCAGATATTAAAGATCAGGTGTTAAGCTGTATAGTTCTTTAGAGTTATAATTCTGCACCTATTCTGTGTTCTAAGATGCTTCTGTTTCAAGATGTATTTTTAGTTTTGTCAAGAATTCACAAATCAGAACTAACCTGCTTATTATTAACCAACTATAACTTAAGCAAATCTATACCCTCTCCTCTTCAAAAGCCCTTAAAATAGATATCTGCAGTGTACCCTTAAAGTTAACAGATAAAGGCAAATGGCACACAAGATCAGCTTCTCTCACCCAGGGGCTATGATGGGGAATTCTCTAGAGGATACTGGCAAGATTGGAGGTGCCACCACGAGCAATGCAGTCATATTGGCCTTCTCTTAGGTATTACTCTGAATTTAAAAGGACTGAAGAAAGGCAGCCACAAAAGGAGCCTTCTCCCAAAACAGTTGAAGGGAAACTTCTTGCACTAGCATGGTCTCGTTTGGATCTGCTACACGCTCTTGAGTACTGAGGGAACAGTCCCCTTTAATTGTCAACTGGAAGAGCTTGTCAAATCTTTGGATGTAGTTAGTATTTCTATTGCTGTCTATTCATATAGGGTCCTTTCTCCCCAATCACAGGGCACAGTGGTTCAAATACTTACTGATACTACTACTACAAGCTGGGGAGACCACATTTCAGCCAGATGGACAGAAAGGTTATAGTTCTGTGGGAGTGGTGCATAGTACACTACATTGATTCTATAGCTTTCTGCCTACATACTTGCAGATTGATGAGCAGAAACCTACATGATCAGCAGAAGTAGTTGCTCAAGAACTTGGTAGCAAACATACACTTACTGTGGATGTATCTGGAAACAGACCTTTTTGCAACAAGACACATCTCCAAATATCACGTTGAGCTCCAAAATAGGACAGGCAACCAGTTCATCTTGAAGGTGTTTTCTTTTAGAATAGGGAGTAAGACTTCTTTGTTCTACACACAATTCCTCTAATTCATAGAGTTCTTAGGAAAATCAAACAAGACCAAGCCAAAATTATTCTAATTTGTGGGGCCTGAGTGAGACAACAGTAGTTCTCAGATCTTCTGTTCCTATCACAAAGGATTTATCGGTGTCTCTCTGCAATTCCAGACCTATTGACGTAGAAGAGGTTGTATTTCTAGACTCTCTCCACTCAGGGCCGGCTCAACCCATTAGGTGACCTAGGCGGTCGCCTAGGGCACTACAGTTTGGGGGGTGGTGACCACGGCGGTATTTCGGCGGCGGGACCTTCCACCGCCTCTGTAGGGGGCGACATTTCGGGGTGGGACCTTCCACCGCCTAGGACATCAGAAAAGCTGGCGGTGCTCCTGTCTCCACTCCATAAGACTTTGACAGATCTGTATATGGTCTGTTTGTTGGGTTGGAGGGAAGGTACAGGGGATTCTATTAAACTTCAGGAAACAGTCAACTTGCCTTTGTTATGATCATTAGTGGAAAATGTTCTTTGTGGGCACCTGCCATTAACATAGCCCAGCTTCAGCTGCTGTTCACTCTATACCTGAATACATAGTTCATTTGAAATTCCTGGGCCTCTCTCATATTGTCAGAAAAAGTACATCTTGCAGCCATCTCCAGCTCACACAGCTTAATTGAGCAAAGACTTCATTTAGCCATGATATAGTACAAAGATTCTTGAAGTGGTTAATGAATCCTTGGGTTAAAGAACCCACACCTAGGTTAAAGTCCCTTGTAATACTACTTAGCCCTGGTCTACACTACGAGTTTGGGTCGAATTTAGCAGTGTTAACCCTGCACCTGTCCACACAACTCGGCCATTTTTTCGATTTAAAAGGGCTCTTAAAATAGATTTCTGTACTCCTCCCCCGACGAGGGGATTAGCGCTGAAATCTACCTTGCCGGGTCGAATTTGGGGTAATGTGATCGCAATTTGATGGTATTGGCCTCCAGGAGCTATCCCAGAGTGCTCCATTGTGACCGCTCTGGACAGCGCTCTCAACTCAGATGCACTGGCCAGGTAGACCGGAAAAGGCCCGTGAATTTTTGAATCTCATTTCCTGTTTGGCCAGCATGGCAATCTGCAGGTGAGTGCAGATCTCATCAGCAGAGGTGACCATGATGGAGTCCCAGAATCACAAAAGAGCTCCAGCATGGACTGAATGTGAGGTACAGGATCTGATGGCTGTATGGGGAGACGAATCCGTGGACTTCAGAAAAGCAGACTTTGACTCCCTCAGGGAACTGATGGGCAGGATCCCCTGGGAGAATAACATGAGGGGGAAAGGAGTCCAGGAGAGCTGGCTGTATTTTAAAGAATCCTTATTGAGGTTGCAGGAAAAAAACATCCCAACGTGTAGAAAGAACAGTAAATATGGCAGGCGACCAGCTTGGCTTAACAGTGAAATCCTTGCTGACCTTAAACGCAAAAAAGAAGCTTACAAGAAGTGGATGATTGGACAAATGACCAGGGTGACCTTCACCTTAGGAGGTCATCTAGTCCAACCCCCTGCTCAAAGCAGGACCAATTCCCAACTAAATCATCCCAGCCAGAGCTTTGTCAAGCCTGACCTTAAAAACCTCTAAGGAAGGAGATTCCACCACCTCCCTAGGTAACCCATTCCAGTGCTTCACCACCCTCCTAGTGAAAAAGTTTTTCCTAATATCCAACCTAAATCCAACTGCAACTTGAGACCATTACTCCTTGTTCTGTCATCAGGTACAACTGAGAACAGTCTAGATCCATCCTCTTTGGAACCCCCTTTCAGGTAGTTGAAAGCAGCTATCATATCCCCCCTCATTCTTCTCTTCTGCAGACTAAACAATCCCAGTTCCCTCAGCCTCTCCTCATAAGTCACGTGCTCTAACTCCCTAATCATTTTTGTTGCCCTCCACTGGACTCTTTACCTCTCCCCTTGTGGGTTCTAGGACGAGTTGCTCCAAGAAGCAGTCATTAATGATGTCTAGAAATTTTATCTCTGCACCCCATCCTGAGATGACATTCACCCAGTCAGTATGAGGATAGTTGAAACTCTATTTTTATAGCCTAATCACCCTAAGCATTTCACAATCACTATCACCATCCTGGTCAGTAGTATATTCCTACTGCTATACTCATATTATTCAAGCATGGAATTTCTATCTATCTTGTTGGAGTCTGTTTTTGAAGTTTTTGTTGTTGAAGAATTGCAACTTTTAGGTCTGTAATTGAGTGTCCAGGGAGGTTGAAGTGTTCTCCGACTGGTTTTTTGAATGTTATAATTCTTGACATCTGATTTATGTCCATTTATTCTTTTGCGTAGAGACTGTCCGGTTTGGCCAATGTACATGGCGGAGGGGCATTGCTGTCACATGATGGCATATATCACATTGGTAGATGTGCAGGTGAACGAGCCCCTGATGGTGTGGCTGATGTGATTAGATTAAATTCTTCTCAGCAAGTCACAAACAGTACATGTCACTTTGTACAGACCTTTGCTGCTTTGGAGCTCAGTATCAACAAAGAAATCTTCATTTGTGCTGATTCAGAAGATAAAATTTATAGGGGTTCTGCTAGCCATAAGAACGGCATACTGGTCAAACCAAAGGTCCATCTAGCCCAGTATCTTGTCTCCCGACAGTGGCCAATGCCAGGTGCTTCAGAGGAAATGAACAGAACAGATAATCAAGTGATCCATTCCCTGTCGCACATTCCCAGCTTCTGGCAAACAGAGGCTAGGGACAGCATCCCTGCCCATCCTGGCTAATAACCATTGATGGACCTATCGTCCATGAACTTGCGTAGTTATTTTTTGAGCCTTGTAATAGTCTTGGCCTTCACAATATTCTCTGGCAAAGAGTTGCACAGGTTGACTATGTGTTGTGTGAAGAAATACTTCCTTTTGCTTTAAACCTGCTGCCTATTAATTTAATTTGGTGATCCCTAGTTCTTGTGTTATGAGGAGGAGTAAATAACACTTATTTACTTTCTCCACACCAGTCATGATTTTATAGACCTCTATCATATCCCCCCTTAGTCGCCTCTTTTCCAAGCTGAAAAGTCCCAGTCTTATTAATATCTCCTCATATGGAAGCTGTTGCATACCCCTAATAATTTTTGTTGCCCTTTTCTGTACCTTTTCCAATTCCTTTTTTGAGATGGGGCAACCAGATCTGCATGCAGTATTCAAGATATGGGCATACCATGGATTTATATAGAGGCATTATATTTTCTGTCTTTTTATCTATCCCTTTCCTAATGATTCCCAACATTCTGTTTGCTTTTTTACTTCCACTGCACGTTGCGTGGATGTTTTCAGAGAATTATCCACAATGACTCCAAGATCTTTCTTGAGTGGTAACAGCTCATTTAGACCCTGTCATTTTATATGGTTAGTTGGGATTGTTTTCCAATGTGCATTACTTTGAATTTATCAACATTGAATTTCATCACCATTGTGTTGCCCAGTCACCCAGTTTTGTGAGATCCCTGTGTAACTCTTCACAGACTCTATCTGAATCAAGTTTGACACTGT